TGGGGTTCAGGTCAGGAGAGTTGGCAGGCCAATTGAGCACAGTAATACCATGGTCAGTAAACCATTTACCAGTGGTTTTGGCACTGTGAGCAGGTGCCAGGTCGTGCTGAAAAATTAAATTTTCATCTCCATAAAGCTTTTCAGCAGATGGAAGCATGAAGTGCTCCAAAATCTCCTGATAGCTAGCTGCATTGACCCTGCCCTTGATAAAACACAGTGGACCAACACCAGCAGCTGACATGGCACCCCAGTGACAGTGGAAACTTGACACTGGACCTCAAGCAATGTGAATTCTGTGTCTCCTCTCTTCCTCCAGACTCTGGGACCTTGATTTCCAAAGGAAATGCAAAATTTACTGTAATCAGAGAACATAACTTTGGACCACTCAGCAGCAGTCCCAGGCGAGATGCTTCTGACGCAGTCTCTTGTTCAAAAGTGGCTTGACCTGGGGAATGCGGCACCTGTAGCCCATTTCCTGCACACGCCTGTGCACGGTGGCTCTGGATGTTTCTACTCGAGACTCAGTCCACTGCTTCCGCAGGTCCCCCAAGGTCTGGAATCGGCCCTTCTCCACAATCCTCCTCAGGGTCCGGTCACCTCTTCTCGTTGTGCAGCGTTTTCTGCCACACTTTTCCCTTCCCACAGACTTCCCACTGAGGTGCCTTGATACAGCACTCTGGGAACAGCCTATTCATTCAGCAATTTCTTTCTGTGTCTTACCCTCTTGCTTGAGGGTGTCAATGATGGCCTTCTGGACAGCAGTCAGGTCGGCAGTCTTACCCATGATTGTGGTTTTGAGTAATGAACAAGGCTGGGAGTTTTTAAAAGCCTCGGGAATCTTTTGCAGGTGTTTAGAGTTACGTCGTTGATTCAGATGGTTAGGTTAATAGCTTGTTTAGAGAACCTTTTCATGATATGCTAATTTTTTGGGACAGGCATTTTGGGTTTTCATGAGCTGTATGCCATAATCATCAGTATTAAAACAATTAAAGACCTGAAATATTTCAGTTGGTGTGCAATGAATCTGAAATATATTAAAGTTTCATTTTTATCATTACATTATGGAAAATAATGACCTTTATCACAATATGCTAATTTTTTGAGAAGGACCTGTATAAATAAACTGAATTGAATTGAATTGATCACTAACTTCATCTTCCTCCTGACAAGCTGTCCTCCTGCTCCAATGAGCAAAAGTTTCTCTGTGAGCATGTGAGTCCCCCCTCACATGCACTGAGCATGCAGGGGAATCCCCCCTCATGGGAAGGGGTCCCCCCCAATGCTCCTCCCCTCCGTGTTTCATTGGTTCGTATGTGACCTGTTCGTTAATTTCATTGGCCAGATTTTTTTCTTAACTTTATTTACACAGTCTCATTGAGCCACGAGGACCCACCCCCCAAGAGAGACGTGTATTGGGCATATGTGAGCGCCCAGGTGTGACAAAGATAAATGTTTTTGGTGGCAGGAAGCACTTTAGCCTGTCAAAAAAAAAAAAATAATAATAATTAGTCGCAGCATTGTTTAAGCCTGTGAAAAAACTAGTGTCTTATAGACTGGAAAGTACAGAAGTCTCCACTCCAGTAGTCCCCATTTTTGTGTTGGCACCTCCATGTTTTTAGTAGAATTGCTCATATAATAATAATTCTTTATTTCATTTCGAACAGTTAAGAATTTCAACAAAAGTGTCAACAAATAAAAACGTAAATATTTCCACCAAAATATTCTGGAAACAAAACAAAAATGTTTGAAAAGGGAGCAGGAAGAAGCAATGGCTTATCCAGTCCTGTCCCTAAATTTACATCCAAATTCTGAACCAGATCAGTTTCTTAAAAAAAATTAGGAACACAAAAACACAAAGTGTAGACCGAAAAGAAAGTGTAGGTAGAAGCACAAGCTTATAATACCTTCACTTTGCTATACATCAAAATCAAAGCAGCAGAATATTTTCCTGTATCATTTTCTAAAACATATCAAGGAATTCCGGGAGTGGTGGCGCAGAGGTTAGAGAGGTGGGCCTGTGATCCGAAGATCGCTGGTTCATGCCCCGGTACCGACAACATCAAAAATGTGGGTGGGGTAGGTGAAGCACCCACACTTGCCCCCACCCTCATTCGCCCCACTCTTGGTCCATGAGCAAGGCCCTTAACCCCCCATCTGCTCCCTAAACAGGTCTCTCTTGAAAATGAGTTCTCGTGGCTCAATGAGACTACCTGGATAAATAAAGGGTAAAATAAACAAATAAATAAAATAAAAGAGAAAAAAAAAACAATCAAACCTTATTATATTTGTTTAGTAAATGATTTGTATACATGTTTTAAATTTAAAGAGTGTAAAACACAGTTGTAGCTCCTTACAACAACTATTCCACACCTGAATCCCTCTAACTTAAGTACAGTTGTTTTTAATATTTGTCCTAACCTTTGTTTTTTTAAACAAATCTTTCTCTCTTGAATCATAGTTTTTCTCTTTAATTTTGAACCACTTTTGTATACACCTTGGAAGGAGTTTATTATAGGCTTTGTACATAATCGATGCTGTTTTGAGTTCTACTAAGTCATAACCTTTTAAAATATGCAATGTAAGAAATAAGTCATTAGTTGGTTGAAAGTCATCAGACACAGTTATAATTCAGATTCTTCTGGAGCATGTAGACTGGTTGTGTTGGTTTTATACGAGTTTCCCCAGATCTCAACACAATAATTCATGGAATTATGAAACAACAGTATGACATGTAAAGTGAGGAGATGTTTTATTTTATTCAGTATTGCAATAGTTTTTGACCTTTTAGCTTTTACATTTATCAATATGAGCTTTCCATTGCAATTTATAATCAAGTATCACCCCAAAAAATCTGAATTCATACACTCGCTCTATTTCGATACTGTTTATCATGAGTTTGACATTATTTTTTATTTTCTTGTTACTAAATATTAATTTTGTTTTATCATAATTTAGTGATAATTTATGTTTGTCTCACCATTTCTTTAATACTTGTAATTGTCCTTTCATGATACTGAGGACCTGCTCGTATATTGTGTTGTTGGCAATGTTTAGTGCCAAATTTTCTGTCCCGTATGTTAAGATACATGCATATTTCTCCACTAGATTACCGGCGGCGCTGGCTTTGTGGGCTCCCATCTGACTGACAAACTGATGATGGATGGTCACGAGGTGACCGTGGTCGACAACTTCTTCACAGGGAGGAAAAGAAACGTGGAGCACTGGATTGGCCACGAAAACTTTGAACTCATTAATCATGATGTGGTGGAGCCTCTTTACATTGAAGGTAATGGACTTTCAAACATCTGACATTTTTTACCTGGGCCCATCCTTCTACCCAGGTCCATCTGTTTATCTTATGAATGTGATAAATAGACGCATGAAGGATCACGTCAAGCATCACGTCAACCAACTTTCTGAAAAGTTAAAGAAAAGCGATGGATATGTTTTGGTCAGGCAGCAGACTTTCACAACATGAAATCTCGAAGTCAGACTGATCTACAGTACTGAAGCTATAAAGTTGCCCAAAATAAATATAGAAAGAGAGTTTGGTTTAGCTTAGAGCCAATACGTTGAGATTAGAGTGTGTGCACATCTATGTTTATCTTTGCCTGACATTCTTAGCTCTTTTTTTTTACACTATGGACAAATCACAGTTTAATTTCCCAGTGGGCTCTTGAGATAGCACGAGTTTCCTTAGCCATTCCAGGCGGTGCATTTCTTTTGTTTTGTCTGCTAAACCACCTGCAAACACATCCCTGTGCTCTGGTGGTGACTACGTGGATGTGTGAATGTGGAGTTGACGAACTCGTGTATAAACAGCAATGTCAGCAAGGATTACAGGGATGGGTAACACAAAGCAGGCTGTGAAGTGTGCAGGAGAGTCCATCAGGATGAATTGATGGTGTCTTTGTGTGAATGCATCATTAGATGTGTGCACCTTGAGCTGTTTTACAGACTTCAGTTTAGTTTAAGGTAAGAAGGCCTTGTACAACCACCTCAGAATAATAATATACATGAAAAGCATCAATCACTGTTTTATATGGAATAAAATCACTCAAACATGTATAATTTATATAAAACATCTTTGCTGATTTATTTATTTATTTTCCCCGTCAGGAATGTTTTTGGTAACTTTGTCTAACTTTGCACTTTCTTTTTGTCTCTTTACTTTTTTTAATTTACTTAAATGCGAAGAAATGTGTGCTGCTTTTAAGCAGTCTGAAAAGTATTAAAGTCTGATTTTACAAATTGCTGAAAGAGAAAATGTTATATGCAATTTAAAATGAAGAACACATCCAAAAGGTTCAATTATGAGGCTGCTTGCTTCAGAAAATAAACATAATTCTTAAAACAAGGTAAAGGTCTTGAAATAGATAAAAATGCTTTCTAATAAAATGTTAAAAATACAAGAAAGGTTAGTAATAAATCAACTGACCTTTATGTTTAGGCATAAGCAGACCACATATGGTGTTCTTCATGTATTAGATTTTATTATTATTTGCTATTTCTTTGAACATACTCCACAAATGTGATATAAAGGTATGTTTAGGTTATAAACGTGACTCTCTTAAAGCAATAGTTCAGCTCTTTTGAAGTGGGATTCTGTGCAAAGGTTAAATAATATCTCTGAGTTTAAATCTGACAGTCAGAGCAGGGGAACAAACAGAACTGCTGTCATCTTCAATTACTCCATCCATGAAAACTTCATAGCAGTTCATGTGAACGTTATTAAATTAATCTTTATAATCAACTAGATAGCATATTTTATGGTTATTGACATGGATTTATATTATTATTGACAAACTTCTTTCACAGCTTGAATTTTTCCAGATTCGTTTCTTTCATTCCGATTCTAAATATTCTCTGGCGCTGTTTGCGAGCAACTTTTTATTTCATCGCCAATCACGCAATACCATAAAATAAATAAATCTTTTCACTTGCAACGGGTCTGTGCTTCAAGGTGAGATGTTTTCTTGTTTTTCTGCAGTGGATCAGATCTATCACCTGGCGTCTCCAGCTTCTCCTCCCAACTACATGTACAATCCCATCAAAACCCTGAAGACTAACACAATTGGCACTCTTAACATGCTCGGTAAGTAACTGTGTTTGACTCTAGTTCATAAAACTAATTTTAATGTAAGTGTACTAAACTTGTCCCTAATTTGTGATTTTTATTTTTATTCAATTTTTCAATGAAAGCAATGTACAGGGTTTTTTTCTACTTTTTTTTTACCAAGTAAAACAGTGTCGGTCAAAACATTCAGTCAAAAGAAGAAAAGGGTTCAGTTTTGTACCTTATCAAAAGTTTAACATTTTTCTTTTTGCAGTCTCCAGAAACGACGTTATTTTTAAAATGAAAGTCCAAACATTTTGAATGCGATCAGAAATTAAAGCTTTAGATTTCTCAATAATACAGACAATTGTCAGAGTTTCCTATTATTTTTATAAGCCTTTTTTTAATACTGAAATGGAGGGGGGGGGGGGGGGGACAGTTTTTATTTTTCACGTTATTTTTCTGATCATTTCTGTGCTTCAGCCATGGTTCCAATTATTGATTGGAAATTGGGCTTTATCTGTGGTGGTCCTCACAAGTTAAGGAGTTACTGTTAAAAAGTTTTATCATTGAAGATAATTTTAGAGAATTAAATTTTTTTTTTAAAGTAACGAATACTTGAGTGTCTGGCTGTCTTGTAATGTTAGGTCCACACTGAACACAGCAGACGCCTGAGCATCAAAGTATTAAAACCACACCTGGATCAATATTTAATATGATTCTCACCACCTGCTGGAGTACAAGGTGAGGGTCATCTTAATCCTACATTGTCGAGCTTCTAACATCCACACAAAGTTTGAGAAGAATGAAAAGAAACACAATAACACAAGAGAGGCATTTTAACTGGGAACTGACCCAAGCTTGGCCCTCATACCACAAGATGCAGAGCAAAGACAGAAAAGAACATTTACTGAAACAAAATTAGTTCTCATTTATTAACCAAACACTCGATCACTGTACACCTAATACTCTGTAATATTCTGATGCAACTGCTTGTCATCCAAAACGATATACTCAGGTCAGAGAAGCAAGGAAACTAAATAAAGTGCATTTAAAAAAGCCAACATTTGTCAGTCAGGTCATCCGGACAGTTTTTTTTTTTTTGTTGTTGTGCTGAAATGTTTCACTTTACATCCAGAAGGCTTCATCAGTCAAGGAAACACACAACACAAAACTGATTCTTCCCCCAGCAGCTTAATCCAAAGTGGAACAAACCAGTTATGTTGGTGCTAAGATGGTCTCTTTGGTATGCCCCCTCCTCTGGTGCCGGCCCTCCCCCTGGTTGACAGTCATGTCAAACTGGTTCAAAACCAACAAAGTCCATGCTCAATAATCCAGGTATACAATCCAACAATTTTCAGACAGGTCATCTGGACAGGGTTTTTTTTTTTTGTGCTGAAAAAAAAAATAAAACCTGTCCAGATGACCTGTCTGAAAATTGTTGGATTATATACCTGGATTATTGAGCATGGACTTTGTTGGTTACATTAAAAAATGTTTTCCATCAGGAGCTGAACTCTTACAAACAGCAACAGGACAACAGGGTGTTCATTTGAGAACAACAAAATGCACAGTTTAGAGAAAGTTTGCATATAACTGAAACAGGAATGAATAATATAATTTGCCAAACATCCCTAGTCATCTCCTCTCTTGTGGAACCAACTTCCAGTTTCTGTCCATGAGGCTGACACATTGTCCAGTTTTAAGACTGGACTTAAGACTTTCCTTTTTGATAAATCCTATAGTTAGGGTTGGCTTGTTATGCTGCTATAGGCTTAGACTATTAGAGAACAAATTGACCTTATTTTCTTAAATTAACTGTTAAAATTGAATAGTTTTCATTTGATACTATTTCTATCTTAACATTTAATTTTTGATCTGCCATTGTGTATCTGTTCCTACTAAACCCAGCTGGTCAAAGCAGATGACCGCTTGTCCTGAGCCTGGTTCTGCTAAAGGTTTCTTCCTCATGAGGGAGTTTTTCCTTTCCACTGTCGCCTTCGTGCTCTCTCAAGATGAGAGTTCTGTGATGGAGTTAAATTCAAAGCAGTCTGCTCCTCAGATAAATAATGTCAAATTATTATTTTATATATGATCGTTTATGTTAAGTGCCCTGAGATGACTTATGTTGTGACTTGGCACTATTTAAATAAACTGAATTGAATTGAATAGATCCGTCCCGTTAGCCTGATGCTCATTAACAAAACTTTAAGAGACCCCAATGACCCAAAGAAGGCTGCCTAAATGCTGTGGACTTCCCACAGTCAAAAATAGATGTTTAGGTTCAGCTAAAGGTTTTACCAAAGTTGTTGACTATTTGTATAAACTTCAGAATAAAATTAATGTTTGCCTCAGAGTATGCTGAGGACTGTTGCCACACAAAGGGGTTCAGTGTGCTGCCTTGACCACACCTTTTTGATGGTAATGATTTTTTTCTGTTTTCTTTTACAATAAACTACTTCACAATAAAACACAAATGCAGTTAGGTTTATTTTTTATTTTTGGCTGCAAATCAGATCAGGCCTTCGATTAGTGTTTTGCATAAAGTGAACTAGTTTCACCCTGTTGTTTCTTAGGACTGGCGAAACGTGTGGGAGCAAGACTTCTACTGGCCTCTACTTCAGAGGTTTATGGAGGTAAGGATTTTTCCTCAATATGTTTAAAAGGCTAAATCCCATTTTACCTTGTTCCCCGTTGCCTTTATGATTTGCATATCATGCTTAGAGGTAAGGGTGTCCCAGTTCTTTTATGTAGGGAGTGGGCGAAGGGGTAATAAGAGTTAGTTCGCTCTTCAAACACTTTTCACTAAAAGGTTGTTGACAAAAAAGTATGAGGTAGCAAAGAAACTCAAATATCTAAGTATTTTATTGTCACAACAACCATCATATGATTAAATTGCAATAAAAGGTATGCATGGCACTGGGTTAACTAAAAAATGTGTATAGAGGCTGTGTAAGGGCATATTGATGGTGTCTGTTTTCATGAAGGAATCTGCAACAATTAATGCCTTATTTGCTTTTTGAGGAAGTGTCCCAGTTTATGTGGAAGTAGGAAATCTGGTTTAAGTGTTTCACATACTCTGAACTGGTGCTTGTCTTTTTCTACTAACTTTATAAACAGGATGTTGGAGGAATGTGCTGGTATACATACTGCACAAACAAAAATTTATTCAGATTAACCAAGCCAACAGCGTTCAGTATAAGAGTTCAGACAGCTGCATCAAATCCATTCTAAAGTTAAGGCACCTGGGTCTTTATTCCTACTTTAATTCTTTGACATTTTAAACATCTGCGACAACTTTCACAGACATCAACGATCATGGCATTTAGTCTGCCATGATAACTTTCTGCAGAAATATGTGGATGGTGTTTTTATGCAGATAACTGCATTTTTTTTTTCAAAGTTTGAACCTAATACAAAAAGCCACAATCACAATTTTCATATATTCATTCATTCAACCTTTATTTAGACAGATAAGTCACATTGAGCCTAGAAGGCTCATTTACAAGTGAGATCTGTTTAGACAGACAAAAAGTAGTGAAACTGGACACGTAGGAATTGGAGGAAAAAAAAATTCCTATCAAACTTTTTCTTCTTGCCTGAGAAGAAAAACTCTATTAAAAAACACCTCACACAAACAAGCACATAGTGACATAGACATTCTGCAGAGGGGGGAGATGACGAGAGCGGTGAGCATGTCCATAGACGCTCTCAAGGTCACTGTAAGAGTTCTGATAAGGATGTAATAATCAGCCAGTGTCCTTCGGTGAGATCCGTAAACATTCTCGAGGTATGTCGAGGAATGGCCAAGGATAACGACTATGAGAATCCAAGAGTCCTGAAATGATGAGACGATGTTTATTCAGCTGGTTTCATCTGGTTATCAGTTGGAAATTCCTCAGGGAGGGGGTGGTGAGCGTCAGATCACATGTTCTCCAGATGAATTCAGATAAGATGGCCTTCAAGGCCAGCCATGGAAGCCAAATTCAGACAAACACACAGTTGTTTTGGGGACAAACAGAACATCTACCTTGAGTCTGTGTTGGCCCACTCTGTTCCGAAATGTCCAAATTACATGGCCATACCGATGGAACGTGACTGAGTAAAATCCCCGAGATCTGATCCATTCTGCCCAAAGCATTTGAGTCTGGGTTCTCGAGGCACGAACTAAGCCATCATAAAGGCAAGCAGCATGATCATGTCCAAATTTGCTGCTGACTACTTCCTTGATTGTAGATAAAACCAGCAACCAGCTGAATCCAAAAAGCAGGAACCAGTTATTGTAAATCCAATTAAATATGCGTCCTTAAAATCCACAAAATGGCAGCAGAGATAGACATATCTCTATCATATCTTGGCGGAGTGGAGGCGCAGAGGTTAGAGAGGTGGGCCTGTGATCGGAAGATCGCCGGTTCACGCCCCGGTACCGACAACATCAAAAATGTGGGTGGGGTAGGTGAACACCCACATTTGCCCCTACCCTCGTTCGCCCCACTCGGGGCCCATGAGCAAGGCCCTTAACCACCCATCTGCTCCCTAAACAGGTGTCGCTTGAAAATGAGTTCTCGTGGCTCAATGAGACTACCTGTATAAATAAAGGGTAAATGGAAAAAAAAATCAAGTCTTCAAGTCGATGAGATATCCAGCTGCATGCGTGCCAACAGGGCAAATCAACTTGCCTAAAACCTGTCTTCTCTTCGAAGAAATGTTGTAAATTGAGTTGAGGGACCATCTGATCAAAACAAGTCCATAATTATGGTTCGGAAGATATTCAAGAGAGGCTGAGAAGCAGTTTCACAGACAGACAGAGCAGCAAAGCGGAGAGGGAGGGGAGAAGCGTCTGATCTCAGCAAGAGCAAGTGGTGAAGTAGAATATATAACACTTGCCAGTGGGCTATATTTGGGATTTAACCTTAAGTGTATTTTTATGATCATATTTAGAAATATTTTTACAGACAATATTTTGTGGTCAAAAAGCCGCCAAGAGACGAAATGTGATGTTTAAAGTGAAACTTGGACAATAAATTTCTATAAAGTACAAGTCAAAATTCAGCCTAAAACTATATGGCTTTGTCCAATATTCTTTTAAACCAAGAATCTTTAATGAAGAAGTCAGAAGATGAAGCTTCTGACACAGAGCCTGTAACCTAATGGTCCAATGCTGCTCTCCACTTTCTTTCTGTCTACACCCTGTCTCTGTTCAGGCCACACCATTACCAGTTTTGCTTTAAAAAATGGACCTGTGGTGTGACAGCATGTGAAAAGGCTAAATGGAGTCTCCTATTTAATAAGTGAAAGTTGGCAGCCCTGTCCACAGCCACATTGCATCAAAGAGCTGGCTGACTCAATTCTTCATGATTGTCCCATTTTCACAGCTAATGTTAGCTAGACAAGCAGGGAAACTATAACGTTAACTGTCAGTTGTTTTTTTAGGCAGGTAGATAAATTTGGCAACTTTTTTTTTCTGAAGGTGATAACAGTTCAGTTAATGGACTTTTATAACTTGTGTAGATTGACAGATGGTGACTGAATAAATAAGCAGATAAGATCATCTTTTTTTTAACTTATTTATAACATTTCCATTAATTTGGTACTATTATTATTATTTTTTATTTATTTATTTATTTATTTATTTATTTATTTAAAGAAACACCACATTAAAATCAATACTGCCTAAATGCCAGCCAGTGTACAGATGAATACTGAATATATAGATTTATTAACTAAATGATGTGGTAAACAGTTACTGGTGCTGTTTAAGGCATGATTACATGCACATACTTAATTATTGCTGATTCATGTTTAAACAGTCAATGGTATTTACTTTTCTGTGAAATTAAAATGCCACTTATTTTATTATGTGATGCTGTTTTTGTGTCATTGTTGTCAGAGATGCATAAACAGCTGCATACTGATCAAATTATTATTATTTTTGAGTACCTTACTCTTCAGCAGCACAGTTTACTTATATTTGGGTAAAGAATTTTAAAATATCAGATTACTGTGTTTATGAGTATGCTAAGACAACAGTCCCATGTTAACACAGTTATATAATGCACCTCATGAGACATTTTTTAACTCATCTCCCAATACTTTGAATACCAACTGATTTGTGTGTGTGTGGGTGTGTGTGTGGGGGAATAAACAAGATAAGCAAACTTGCATATTTGTATTGCATTCTTTTTGTAGAACAAACTTGAAAGCCACAATAACTATCTTAATTTTTTGTTTTTTCAGATCCAGAGGTACATCCTCAAAATGAGGACTACTGGGGACACGTGAACCCAATTGGTCCTCGAGCGTGCTACGATGAGGGGAAACGTGTGGCAGAGACCATGTGTTATGCCTACATGAAACAGGTAGTTTATTTAATTTTTTTTAATTTTTGTGTCTAATTAATAAAGTTTTCTCCACTTTGACTTTTATACTGTTTTTAGTTAGAAACTATAACCAAGTATATTACACAACTTCTTGTCTTTAATTAAAAACGATGTACAAAGATAAAGAAAATAAAACGCAAACTGAAATGGCAAAATTGGCCTGGCACAGTTCTGGCCCACACAAAGCACTAACACTCGGCTCATATAGAGCAAAGATGATGGCCTTTTGGTTGCCCAGATGTGGTTTTCCAGAGGTGGTCCATGCATCAGCCAGGACCAGAATAGCTGGTGCTGGCCAGGAACAGTTTCAACACTGGCAACATATGTCAGGCTAATGTCACACACATGGCATTATCTGTCTGGCCCAGATCTGGCCTCTATACTCCACACACACTCAGCTTGCATACCTCAAAGAATGATGACTCTTTGACGATGCAGATGTGGTTTGCCAGCACAGTGGCAGAACATCAGCCAGCCCACAAATTGTCTCAGGGCACTGTACAAAAATATTCATATACATAATAATAATAAAAAAGCCAATTAGTAAAAGGTATTTAAGGAAGCCAGCAGATTGTGTTGAATCTTCACTTCGTCACAGTCTCTCATCCTGAGCTAGCACAAAGGCAACACTGGAAAGGATAAACTACTAACAGGAAGAAACTTCCAGCAGAACCAGGCTCAGGACGAGCCATCTGCTTCGGCCGGCTGGGTTTGAGAGGACAGGAAGGAGACAAACAAACACAGAATGGCAGGTCCAGGTGTAAATAATATACTGTATTAATATTTCTCGGACTACAGAACGCACCTGTCTCTAAGCCGCACATATTAAATATAAGATAAATCATAATTTTGTACATAAATAAGGCGCTCCAGTTATTTATCTGCGGGAATCCACCATTCATCGTCAGGATCTGTGCCCAGCCACCTCCAGCAGCATGCAGCTTTCTTGTTGTAGTACAAGAATCAGCCACCGGATGGCGCTTCACAGACTATAGCTTGCTTTAAACACGCTCTGACGTCAGAAGTCTTTGTGAAGCTTCGCTGTCTGACTCATGGTTAAAACCGTTCAACCTATAAAATGAACACAATAACTATCTAAGCATAATCACTGGACAGAACAGTGCCAAACATTTACGTAACCAAAATTATTTAAAAATTATTTACTAGTAAATATTACCCAGAACTCTAATCAAATAGTACTGGTAAAATACTGTAAATATTCATTAAATTAGTACTGTTGATTTTTATTGTTAAACACTTTTGGTAACAGCTGCTGTTTTTTTTTTTTAAATGTACTTTCTAAATAAAATTGACGTTATTTCTCCTCAGCATTGCTCATATGAGGAGGAGGAGGGAGGGGGAACAGCCTCTCCCTCCTGTTGTCTCCTCCGTTTTGTGTGGAGCTTAAATGAGATCCTGGTATTTAAACACATATTTTCTATACACAGAAAGATTTTTTTTTTAACTTTTATTTAAATATGTATCAGTCTTGATTGACTGCTTTAAAAATAAATCTGACGATGTCTCCACTGAGCTCTCAGAAAGGGGAGGGGGAAGAACCACTTCTGTTGCCTCCGTGTTCGGATTTGAGTTTAAAATGAGATCCCGGTATTTAAACGCATGTTTACCGTACACAGAAGGATCTAAAAAAAAAAGAATTATAACATTTTTACTAAAGCATGTACCAGACTTTACCGCTTTGCGTCTCGACCATCGAGACATTGATGCAAATCTTCCGGGCAGCAGCTCTGTTTCCTCCTTCAACAGTCGATAGCTTTTAACATGAAAGCTGCATCGTAAGAAATTCTCCGTGCGTTTTCCATTATCGCTGAACAAATGAACAGGTCTGTGCATGAAGCGCAAAATATGTGAACAACACAGGAACGATCTGAAAAAATTAATGCACGTCTATCTTGGGGGATGGTCCTCTATAGTACCTCGTTGGTCATTCAGGTTAGACTTCTGGTCACATGATGACAGAGTGGGTGGAGTTATGGTAGGGAATTTGAAACCATGAGCAAGAGTTGTTGTACATCTGATTACCTGAGGGCGTTCTCTCTGTGTCACAAACGCCTGCCCCCAAGAGGGGCAAGGTGTTAGGAGCCACGAGCGCCCAGCTCTGTCAAAGGAAAATGTTAGTCCGCGCTGAGATGGCAGGAAGTCTGTCAAAATTAAATATAAAAATATAACTTTTGAAAATTATGATTAAAATACAATGTGTGGTACAATGTGTGAGAAAAAAGTAGTTGCTTCTACACCGGCAATTACGGTACATCCTTCTTATTTACATGTTCCTTTATATCTCATAGATAAATATCTTAGCCTTCTTAAGGCGTTTCAAATCCCAGTATGATTTTAATTTTAGATTGGACATATGGCCAGTAATTTATAACACCTCTCAGTTTTATGTGAGTGATTTCCATCTGTATTTCCTCTTCTCTGACAACACAGGTGTTGTAATGTGGTCTGTTTAGACTTGGTGTTAGGTGTAATAAAATAATAAATTAATTTCCCCTGCAAATTCCCTCCAAGCTTGCACATTTATAATGCGTATTTTGATGCTAGGAAAAAAAAATTAATGTCACTGCAGATGTGGTTGATTTTTTTGAAGGGTTTTTTTTAACATAAAAAAAAGATTTATAGAATATCTTTTTTAATACAGAATCACAAATAGTGCACATTTTTGTGAAAAGAGACCGATGAGGAGAAAAAGTTACCATTATTGATTCAACAAAAGCACAATGTAGTACAGATGAATGTGTCTGACAGTGGAGATATAAACATTTTTCAGTAAAGCTCTTGATGATTTCTTCTGTAAAGCCCCTGTGATAACTTGATTGACAGCAGCCTTTAATGATCAGATGTGATAGTCTCCTTTTGACTTTCCTCCAGGCAGGTGATATTTATTTATCTGCCTTGTCTCTTGCTCTTCCTCAGCAGCTCATTATTTTTTCACACTTGGTGGTACAATTTTCAGTCATGGCAATCTTAAAAAATAAAAATACAAATCCACTGTCAGTCAGTTGTGCAGAAGGGTACAAATATCACACATTTCCTCACCTTTCATTAACATTTAAAAAGGGAAACATGTGAGGTTACTTAAAAGAGGAAAATTCATGATTTACACATTTTTTGTGTACATATACAACAATTAGTTTGAATGACAATAATGATGATGATGTGTTTGTACCTACAAGCTTGCATCAGCTGTTCAGTAAAATTTTACCAACAATGGCAGATTGTGGTCATGTGAAGATTTGGTGATATGTAACGCTGTATGTCACAATAATAATAACTAGAACTGCTAGCAGTTATTACCTGATCCTAAGCCACTGGAAGCATGTCGACCATGACATGTTGTCTCCAGCACCCTGTCAACCTCTTGTGTGTCACACATTTGTGGCATAATGAGGAGTATATAAGGTGTATTTAAGGCCCTAAAGTCTCTGGGGCTTTCTGTGCCAGTGTATTTGTATGTATTTATTTGAACACACACACAAACATCTATCTATCTATCTATCTATCTATCTATCTATCTATCTATCTATCTATCTATCTATCTATCT